ATTCAATTCAAAAAAAAAAAAAAAAAAAAAAAATAAAGTGAGTTCACCACCAGAAGATCGACGCATATCAAAAGAATTGACTATTAGAACTCAAAATCAAAGCGAAACCCTAATTCTCGCCATGATTATATAACTTCAATCGAACTAAAACCAATACCCAGAGATGAATCAATCCGCATTCCACCGATAATTATCCAACACTAATCATCTAAAATCTATACAACCCTAAGAGGTCAACTTCGATTGAAGAAGCATACGAAACCCAACTCACCTGGAATTCGCCATGTTTCCTCCTCTTTACTAGCGAGAGAGAGGTCGTAGAGCCAGAAGACGAGCGAAATCAAGTGGTTCGTTTTAGAAATTAGACTCAATGGTTAAGATTCATTCTTGTTAAGACACATTTAGTATTTAACGGCTAGGATTCAATCATATCTTCGCCCTTGGAAAAGTTTCAGCCTTTGGGCTAAAGGTTCAACCATTTTTCCTTCTATACTTGGAGTGTTGTTGATTCACATTATGATCACAAAGAACATGGAAAGAACAATGACACACTTTGTTTATGCAATGCAGAGTTTTAATTCATATCCTCAGATACACAAAACAACATACCATCCTAGGAAGAAAAAAGAGACTAGTAAATTATTACCTGGGTTCTAATCTTTTACAAAAGAACACAAACTAAAGAATCATCAAAACTAAAACAAAAAAAAAGAGGTTTCAATCTCCAAATTACACTTTCTTTATACCCTAAAAAAATACAGACTTTTTCTATAGAAAGGAACATACAACCTATTTCACCTACCAACCTCCCTCCAACCACAGAGATGGCGAGAGAGAGAGAGAGACAGGCTCATAGGTTTCTCTAGTCTTATGTCTTGTTGAAGTGGAATGATTTGGCAACACCCAAGTGTTCAGCTAGCCGTTCTACTGTTGACTGCACTGCTTTAGATACTGGTGACACTGAGTCTGGGAGACTTGGGTGGCATTGTGGTAAATACGGGTCATCATCCTCTGTTCGGTTCAAGGAAGTGAGTACAGACCGGCAGAATATGAATCTACACAACAACAAGACATATATTTGAGAAGCTGCCTTGCATTTGTGGTTCTGATTCCCAAAACTTAAAAAAAAAAAAAAAAAGACTCACCTGAGAATCAGCCGTCTCAAGAACTGATCAGGCAAGACCTGTGCCCACACAAGATTCAAGACTTTGGAAGTCAATAGCATCGTTTCCCACTCAGAGAAGGAAGCAGAAAGTATGCTCTCTGCTTCGTCATAAACCTCCTGCATATTGTGAGCAAGATGGTAAGAGGCAATGCCACATTATGTAAAGTCAGGTTCATTTAAGGTATTTCAAAATCACAAGCGCTTACAGGTTCGGGATCCGAGTTCGAGAGGCCCAGCATTTGACAGAATGCTTGTAAAGGAGCTGTCAAGAAAAACGTAAACTGGCTTCCGTTTTGTGCTGCTGCTGTATCATCAGCAGATGGGTTCTCCAAAGATGGCTTCAGAGGAGACAGAAGCAGAGCAACAGGCTCTCCTCTCTCTGCACCATTCAAAACCTGGAGTTCACAATTCGTCAGCCAATTTTGCACTCTGAAAAAGAGAAATTTTCAGACTATCCAGTGAATATGATAAGACTAAGTTAGGACAAACCTGCCTTGAATGCTCGGCTGGTGTCGCTATCAATGATCAAGAAAAGCGGTTTCCGTGTAAAAGGGATTAGATCACCAGGGTAAAGGTTGTTTGAACCTAAAGATAAAAAAAAAACAAGACAATGAGTGAATGAGAAAAAGTCTGCTCTTTAGAGACATATATAACAATGAGGAAATCCACTTACCAGAGCCTCCTCTAGTAGGACCTAACCAAAGATAGTCATTGTAATAATCCCCAGAAGATTTGTGTCCATTGCTATGAGGTTCTGACTTGTAACTCTTCTGTTCTTGGGAAGCTCGGGCAAGCAGCTTGCTTTTTGATGTTCTGCTTGAACCGACAGAGTTCTCTGGTTGCGCAACATTCTCACGAGCAGGACCACCTGGTTAATATTTACCAATATCAGTGACACAACATGTGACAAAAAAAAATGGCCAACCGTAGAAGAAGTTCCAAGTGACAACTAAAAGAAACTAACCTGAAGCGGATAGATATACCAGCATCACACACTCTGGAGAGAGCTCATCACAGATCATTGCTAAGACCTGCATATATGACCAGTACTCAGTTCAACTTATAAAGGCAAAAGTCCAACAGGTTTTCTATATGATACACACAAAAAAAACTCACCGCAAGCAAGTGGGATACTGTGGGACGATAAAGAACTGCTTTCCTAGGATTAGGAGGTAATGAAGGATCAGCCATATCAGCAGCCAATTTCATATCAATAATCCCAGAAGTTAGTGTATGATCAACCACAAAGCCATTCCCTTTCGTTTCAACAGGGGGTTTTTGGTAAAAAGATCCACTAGGCTCCCATTCTAAACACTGCATCATTCTATACGTATCCAACGTGACTTCAGCGTATTTCACCTGAGGAAGAAACCCCACTCAGATAATGATTACAAAGACTTGAGATATGACTCTTAGGTACTGCTTGTTTACCTCGTTACGGTGATAGCTTGCAAGTAGAGCATCACGAAACTTGAACAGCTTCTTAGCGTGGAACCTGGCTAGGTATGTCTGAGAAGCTGGATAAGAATCAAGCATAGCGCAGTAACGAAGAGGCCTAACATAAGTTAAGCTCGTGTCAGCTTTCGTAAACCGAGTGATCTCTTGCACAACTAGCCTCCACTCCTTAAAGTTCGTCTCCTACACAACAAAGATCAACACTTTTAATCCAAAAGCCTCTCACAAAATCAAAAAGATTCAATCTTTATACCCTAAAATTAGACTTGCTATCTTCCACCAAAGCCCTAAGCTTCTCAGCCAAATGCAAAACCATCTCTCTCCGATCAACAATCAAAGCCACAAGCAAAAACCTCGCGTAGAATCTGAGCTCCTTGGAGCGAGCACTGAGATCTTTCTTCTCCTCCTCGAAGTACCTCCGCTTGAGAATCGCCTCGTAGAAGACGTAAGACTCGAGGAGGAAGCGAGCCTCGCTGGTTCTCATGTACTGGCTGAAGTAAAGCTGACCAATCCGGCTCGCGATCTCCCCGATTTCCCACCGGTTTAAACCGGATTCGACCAGCTTGGGCCTGTGGGACTGCTGGTAATTCCAGAGTTTCATGTACGCTTTGAAGACCTTGTGGAAGTAGTGACTCTGTGCTCTTCCGAAGGCCGGGAGATCGCGAACTCTCGCGAACTTGCGGTCTGCGTTCTCTACCAACGCTCTGAAATTGCTTGGAACGTCTTCCTCCGCCATTTTTGTGCCTCCTTTTTTAGTTGCGGTGAGAGGCGACGTCGTTTATCATCGGCGGAGAGAAAGAGAGAGAGAGAGAGAAAGAGAAGGACTTTTAATGAAATGACGGTGGAGAGAGAGATATACAGATGAGAGAGTAAATATGGTTTTCTTTTTAATTTAATATTGACTCAATTTATCTTCCTTATTTTTTTTCATTTTTATTTTATTTTCCCTTTTTAGTTGTTCACTTTTACAAAAGCAGTTGAAAAAATTGATAGAAGCATAGGGATTAATAATAATAATTTTCATTTAATAATTAGTGTTAATTAGTCACAACCTACGAATTTGAGAGAAAATCAATCTAAGGTATTTATTATTTCTTTTTTAAAAATGTATAGGTTCAAAATAATTATTAAATATTATTTGTGTATAAAATACTATTTCACCCATCTTTAATCTCTCTGTATTTAATCAATTAATGTTGTAGATTTTAGTTTTTTTTTTGAAAGATTGATGTTTCAAAATGTAATTTATACTTGATTTAAACTAAATATAATTAGAATATATGAGTGGTGAGATTTTGTTTGGCAAATCCAAAAATGTTTTAATATGTGTGAAAAGCTTAAGTTTCATGGTTTAGTTTGCAAATGCGTGACATTAAAATTTAAACTACGTTTAAAATAAAATAAAATAAAATAAAATAAAACTAACATTGTTCAATGAAGTTATTAGCTGGATTATTGTAAGATAAAAGTATGCATCGCTGTGAGCAAAAACGCATGTGCGCACGAAGCCACAAAGGAATTTTGCAGAATATCATAAAATCCCGTGTGTTGGGTAATCATGGTAAGACGAGCTGGCATCAACGCAGATATGTACACGATGATGTAAATATTGTTCTTGTATCAATTGTATAGTTTAAGCACATGTCCTTAACGTACGTATACCTACTTGATTAGAGAAGATAATGTTTTCTTATTCAATCTCCACAACGAACTAACTAACTGATTCATATACTAATCGTCGCAACAAGGCAAATTATATGATATTATTTTAGTTAGTTTTCTTCTCAAATGATGGTGGCAACGAGCCACTTGCTGACTTGCCTATGTCTATATATCATTTTAAATCATGTGCCGACGCACGGCATGCGCTCTCGACTCTATCTCTTTTAAATTTATTCCGCGTTTAGCAAATGTTCAAGCCGATACTTTGGCTAAAACTGCTTTATCGTCTTTAGCTTCCCCTGCAATTGCTGTTGTAGACTGATACTCTTTGCATCTTTTATTAAATCGTTGTTTGCCCAAAAAAAAAAACTACGAGTAAGTATATGCGGATGGAACTCATGAAAGAGGATTAGGTAAATTCAGTAGCAAATCTGTAATAATATAAACTCCATTATTTAGAGGAATCCTAGGGGGAAAGTATTATAGTTAGAAAAATAGAATGTATGTTTATAACACAAAGGAGTTGACTTTTAATACTGGCCACTAGAGTTTTTACTTTTCGGGTGTTGTTCCAATTCAGCTAATGATGTAATCATCACATCTACTGCATAATATAAAGGTGGACCGACGTGACCTGTCGTGATGCTGATTCTCATTTTTTCCGGTCTTGTTGAGAACATTATAAATTTTAGAAGATAAGAAATCGATTTTCAATGGTCAAATTTGATATAATATCATTGCGCAAATGAATAAAAACTACTTAAGATTCATCTTTGGGTTCTAATTCTGTGGTTATCTAATATAAAGAGAATCCTTAGATGGTTGACCAAAAAAGAGAGTTCGTAGAAAATAAGAATAAAAGTGAATATATTTTATACTAAAACGAGTATACACGAAACATGACATATAAACATTTTGTCTCTACGTCTGCAAATTAAAATGTCAGTGGGGCATGTTTCCATTAACTTTTTGTAGTAGTGGTTAGATGTTAGTTGTCTGAACTCTATTTATTTATTTTAAATTCCGAATATTCATATTTCACATTTGGTCCTACTTTGTTTGACATGTATTAGGAAAATCTTAGCTAATTTTATTGGCTTGACAGACCAAATGAAATGGTACGTCGCCCTTGTTAAACGCTTTATTAGGTGGGAAACTTTATTTTCTAGTTATAAAATGTACCTCTATATTGGACAAGTTGTAGTTAATTGTTTCTCATGTACATCTTATCACATGAATAAATTCCATTGAACTAAAAAACAAACAAAAACTCCAAGCTAATAAATCATAAAAATAATTAGTAATCATTTTAAAATCCTCACCCAACGCTATATAATTATTTGTCTTATATATAACACTCAACATTCCACATCATAAAATAACAGTTATCGAGTTTTATGTATATTTATATACTCTGCTGTTTAGCCTTGATGGACTGGTCGTTGGTAAAGTGTTTATAAAGAAACTAAAGATAGATAAGAAGAAAAAACATAAAGAACAAAAGAAAAAATGTAAGTCCAAGTCAGTACCAAGAACATATTAGTGTCAAAGTTAAAAAGAAGGCAGAAGAAAGAAGTAAAGATTGTCATAATATTTATGTCAACATATTTGTTAGTTGGCACAAAGTGGATTTAAAAGCTTTTACACTACCAGATCAAAAGAAGGTGCGCTGTGATAACAAGGAAAGATTAAAAAGAGTGTGAAAGTTCAGCTAGCACTAAAGTAAACTTTGGATACCAATTAGGCTTTTGTATATAAATAATAGATTACAGATTGCTTATCAAATCACATCTCTTTTTTTTTTTTGCTTCTATGGATGTAATTTGGGCTAACTAACCCAATTAGTTCTCTAGTCCATGTTTATTGGGTTTCTAATGAAATATCTAGCAGAAATATGGAAAAAGGCAATTGTAGAGTTGCTTCTCTTCGTTTATATGTAAACCCTAATATGTAAATCGTAAATAGTAACCAGAAGTGGTGACAATGTCGAAATCATTCTCTAAAGAACCACAGCGTAATAAGAAGGAGAATACGTCCCTATCACGGTCTTTTTATTTATCTTCGTTGCCAGATGAGGTGGCTTTGAGTTGCATGGCTCTACTCTCGAGATCGGACCATGCATCCTTATCTCGCGTCTCCAAGAGATACCGCTCTCTCGTGACTTCGCCTGATCTCTACGACATCCGAGCGCAGTTAGGCTACAGCTGCTTTTACGTATGCTTGAGCATCGACGGTCCTTACTCAACCCCACGTTGGTTTATCATCAGCCGTTAAAAAACTGTGAATAGGCTCATGACCCCTATCCCTCCTTGTCCGTCTTTTCACCCTAGGGAAGGCTTCTCCGTGGTGTCGCTTGACTGTGGGATCTATGTAATCGGTGGGTCCAGAAAGAGAAAGAACTCCAGGTCTCCGCGTGTCTTGCTCTTGGATTGTCGGACTCACACGTGGCGTCAAGTCCCTTCCATGACAGTGGCTCGACGTGACGCTGTGGCTGGAGTCGTAAACGGGAAGATATACGTGTTAGGAGGCTGCAAGCGCTATGAAAACTATGGAGAGGTATTCGACCCGGAGACTCAAACTTGGACTACTTTGCCGCCAGTACCGGGTACTGTAATGTCGGGTAGTGTAATATGGGAAGTGTCATTCAGAAAGTTCATGGTGATGGGTGAGAAGTTTTACGCAGTGCCTATCTGTATCTGGTATAGAGCAAGCCTATTATCCTACTCTCCCAACGAAGGTATATGGGAAAGAGGGATGAAGGATATTGATGTTTCGATGCTAGGAACCAAAAGTTATTGTTTTAGTAAGGCAGAGAATGTTTTATACAGTTGTGATGACTTAGGGAATGTGTATTGGCGTGAGACAGAGGATCCATCTGAGTGGAAGCAAGTCAAGAGGGGTTTAGGTGCTCTACATAGTTACTTTGACAAACCGATGGCTAGCATTATCTGGGATACGGCACCGTGTGATGAGTTGTTCAAGGGTTACAGCAAAGTACTGAGAAATGTCGGTACTAACATTTTGATCTTTTGGTTCAAGTATAACCCTAACAAATCGAATGTGGATATCTGGTGTGCGGAGATTTCCCTTGAAAGATGCCATGACATAAGTGAGATTTCGGGTAAGATCGAGTGGTTGCAACCTGTTGCTGAAGTTGAGGGCCATCCCGCGAGCCACGTTAATGTTTTACATTCTGCTTATGTCAATGTTTAGAGTCTATATATTATTGTACTTCTATGCATGTGTTTTAAAACAGAAACTATACTTGGGGGCAACTTCATCATTCTCTTCTATAGTTGAAATATAACTATGTGTGTGATGATTTCCTATAACTATAAGATACTTGTGATAGCTTGTGTTTTGATTTATTTACTTATCCTTTTTGTGTGGTTATAACCATTGATGAGCTTGTTAAAAGCGTTTGCAACCATACTACTTCGTTTGCTTAGTGAACTTAATTAGTTACAACTATATTGTTTCTCTTCGGAAACACTAAAAACTAAGGACAGAGAGCTAAAAGGAGAAAAGAACTCTATGTTTAACAAAGTATCTCTTCTGAATCTATGGTGAGTTGGTGATAAATGATACTTATCTACTTCAAAAGAAGAAATAAAACCACTCTTTTCTTGTACTTCACAACCTTTTTGTTGTCTGTAGTTGTTCGTCTCTTTAATAACTTTGCATCATCTTATTCGATTAACTTATGAAACCCTTTGACAAACAAAAGTTCTGTCACAGTAACGTCTTGTGTTATCAGAAAAAATTTCAAAAAGTGAAAAAAAATAATAGTATCAAAACACCAAATACATATGTAGTGATGGCAAGTGGTCTTCCCGTCCCTCCCCGCTGCAGATTTGGTTTCGAGCAGGTCTCGGTGGATCTGTCCCATGCCACGGGATCCGGAAAGGCTGACCAAGCTGGCAAGCTCCCCCGCAAATTGTATGTGCCTTTAGCTGGTTGGGGCGATGAAGACGGGGTTCTTCGACTGCATGCACTGCACAGACCTATAGACATACACACGCCAAAAAGACTGAAAGTTTAGTGGAAGAATTTCGTTTTTACATTCCACAAAGTTCAGTTAGAACTAAATTAAACTTGTGGATACCTATTAGGTTTTTGAATAATAATACTAATATATTATAGACTATGTGTTTTATCCGAGTATAGACATAATTTTTTTACGAATACTTCCTAATTTACATTTTATTAATTAAAAAACCGACACGATAAGTTAATATTTATGCTCTTAAAAAATAAATCAAACATAAAAATATTTATATATGTTAATTTTTTATCAAATATATTTATATAAAATTTGGTGTTTTATTAGTATTTAACTATAAATGATTTTATATCTTAATTTTTAACTTCTATAGTAGAAAAAACTATTTTCAGATATTACACAATATATAAAAATTTAATTATTGTTATTATCATTTTTTATTTTCTTAGAATTTATTAAATTAATTTATAATTATCATCTAATATAAAATATATATTTAATATTATTATTTTTTATTTTTAAATATTTATATATGTTAATTTTTTATCAAATATATTTATATAAAATTTGGAGTTTTATTTAGTATTTAATTATAAATGGTTTTATATCTTATTTTAAACTTTTATAGTAGAAAAAACTATTTTCAGATATTACACAATATATAAAAATTAAATTATTGTTATTATCATTTTTTATTTTTTAGAATTTATTATATAAATTTGTAATTATTATCTAATATAAAATATAAATTTAATATTATTCGTTTTTAATTTTAATTTTTTAAATGTTTGTGGATAATTCTTATAATTATTAACTAGATGAATTTTTGTGATAGCGTGGGATAATATTACTTACTTTATGTAAGTATTTTATATATTTAAATTTTATAATAGTTTTAATAAATTAAATTTGTCTATAAAAAATAATAGTGCTTATCAAACAACATCTTTTTCCGCTTCTATGGATCTAATTTGGGCTAACTAACCCAATAAGTGCTCTAGTCCATGTTTATTGGGTTTCTAATGAGATATTTAGCAAAAACTTCTAGGAGTATTTGATAATATATGGAAAAAAGGCAACTGTAGAGTTGCTTCTCTTCGTTTATATGTAAACCCTAATATGTAAGTCTTAAACAGTAACCAGAAGTGGTCACAATGTCGAAATCATTCTGTGAAGAACCACCGCGTAATAAGAAGGAGAAGACGTCCGTGTCTCCGTCGTTTTCATTATCGTCGTTGCCAGATGAGGTGGCTTTGAGCTGCATGGCTCTACTCTCGAGATCGGACCATGCATCCTTATCTCGCGTCTCCAAGAGATACCGCTCTCTCGTGGCTTCCCCTGAGCTCTACAAGATTCGGTCGCAGCTAGGTTACAGCTGCTTCTACGTATGCTTGAGCATCCACAGTACTTACTCAACCCCACGTTGGTTCATCATCAGCCATGAAAAAACCGTGAACAGGCTCATGACCCCTATCCCTCCCTCCCCTTCTTCTCACCCTACGGAAGGATTCTCCGTGGTGTCGCTTGACTGTGGGATCTATGTAATCGGTGGGTTCAGAAAGAGAAAGTACTCCAGTTATTCGGACTCTCGTTCTTCTAGTGTCTTGCACTTGGATTGTCAGACTCACACGTGGCGTCAAGTCCCTTCCATGAAAGTGGCTCGATGTAAAGCGGCTGCTGGAGTCGTTGATGGGAAAATATACGTGTTTGGAGGCTGCAAGTATAATGAGACCTATGGAGAGGTATTTGACCCAAAGACTCAAACATGGACTCCTTTGCCTCCAGTACGGGATAGTTTAAAACCGGATTTGTTATTCAGAAACTCCATGGTGGTGGGTGAGAAGATTTACGCAGTGCCTTTCTCGAATCCACCAAACCTATTATACTACTCTCCCAACAAAGGTATATGGGGAAGAGGGATGAAGGATATTAATGTTTCGATGATAGGAACCACAAGTTATTGTTTTAGTAAGGCAGAGAATGTATTATACAGTTGTGATGACTTAGGGAATGTGTTTTGGCGTGAGCCAGAGGATTCGGAGTGGAAGAAAGTCAAGGAGGGTTTAGGTGCTCAACATAATTACTTTGACAAACCGATGGCTAGCATTATCTGGGATACGGCACCGTGTGATGAGTTGTTCAAGGGTTACAGCAAAGTACTGAGAAATTTCGGTACTAACATTTTGATCTTTTGGTTCAAGTATAACCGTAAGAATACGAAAGTGGATATCTGGTGTGCCGAGATTTCCTTTGAAAGACGCCATGACATAGGTGAGATTGTGGGTAAGACTGAGTGGTTGCAACCTGTTGCTGAAGTTAAGGGCCATCACGTTAAGGTTTTACATTCTGCTTATGTCAATGTCTAGACTCTATATATGATCATCAGAAGGTGTTTCATTGTGCTATGTGTTTTAAAACCAAAACTATATACTATTGGGCAATTTCATCCATCCCATCCGTTGGTTTGTATAGTTCTAGTTTTGTGATGATTTCATATAACTATAAAGTACTTTTATAGCATGTGTATCGGTTTCTTTATTCATCATTTTGTGTAGTATAACTTATAAGTTATAACTTATAACCATTGTCTTGACTATGATCTTGTTAAAAAGCGTTTGCAACCATAATATCTCGTTGCTTAGAGAACTTGTATTTTTTATACGCATACTATTATTCTATTAAAGAGCACTGGTTACATCTGCAATATCAAGAAGGCAGATACATTTGTCTTTAAACATCTGCACAACATAAAAGGTATGCTCCATCCATGATCCATCAGTGCTGACTCAAACTAGTTTTCAGGAGTTAACCAGTGGCTAATAACCGCGTGTCATTTAGCCATTAAACGATATAAGGTGTCGTCGTTTGATGAAAGCCATTTGGCATTTGCTCATTCTCTCTCGCTTAAGCTGGCGCGAGCCGTATATAAGCTGTCTCCTACTACGGGTATTTGTAATCGTATTCGAATCTTCTTTTTTTTTTAATTACTATATTAGTTTGTAATTTACCACTTTAGTTTCATTTCTTAATAATCGCATTAGTGCGGATTGTTTACAGTTTATTACTCGTAAATCTAATTTTCTTTTCAAAAACATTAGAAAATTAAGGAAATCAATGATGATGTATGAAATGGCCTCTTAATTACTAAAGTTTCTTTGTTCTGTTATAACTATATTATAATGTATAATGTAAATTCTTTTAATCTACGCAGCTACGCTACGCATAAGATTATTCATAGTGCAATTTTTTTTTTCAATTTATATTGTTTTGTTGGCATCGCATTTGAGAATTAGGGGAGTTTAAATTATGTAGGATTGAGTGTTATTCATGTCTAACTATCGAATAGCCTCTAAGTGTCATAAACTAGTGATTATGTATTAATATTAAATTTTGCTGTACTCTAAAATAAAAATCAAATTTATATAACTATTCAGAGGATCTCATCAGCTAATTACATGTCCAGATTTAGAGTATGATAAAATTTCCCAGAAATAACTATTTGAGAGCTGAGAGAGACCTTTGAGAATCATCACACCTTAATTATATATTTTCAAATTATTTTAATAAACCCCATTTGCGTGTTTGTGTATATTTTAATTATTTATATATACAAATTAAAAAGCCTTTCACCATCAAAGCATATTTGAATTTCCACTAGCGGGCCCTGAGAAACACGAGAGTGTTGAAAAACATAACATCTCGAGATAAGAAAAAGGAGATTATATTCGTTTACATAACGATAGATGTTTAATTATTCTTAATTAAAAAGATAGAACTCGATCGATTGTCTTCATACGCAATAGAATAGAAAAAACGTATAGGGTTAAAGGGATACTAAAAGTTTGTGTAGCAGCTACGTAATATGCATTATTTTGTTGCAACTTCTTTTTAATTGAGAAAACTACGCTTTTCTTGTCTAGCTTCAGTTAATGAATTAGCAAAACATATTCATGATGTCTATGCTCAACCTATGTCCAACAAAAAACAACTCATTCCCTGAAGTTCTTAGACTAAAGTATTTATTTTGTTATGTAATCAGACTCCAAATCTAAAGTTCACATATGTTTGAATGCAACAGTCAACTTGCTTTACAAATGGCAAAAGCTTTTTATTGCCTGTCTTTGAAACAGTCAAGTTTGTAGTGTGCCATAGCTATCAAACTAACTCGTTCGTCAACGATTTTATATTTGTTTATTTTTGCTACCTTTGGTATATTTATCACTTCCTAATGTACATATAATTCTGTTTATAGAATTATGTACCATGGATAGAGTTACTACATATACTACGAGCTAGACCAATATTTACCATCAAATAATGTAAATATATTCCACCACCAACATAAGATTACAATACAAACTACCTACATAAGATTACAATTTTATAATTAGTTGGATGGTTTTAATTATTGCGTGTAAATATAATTAAGAAATTTCCAAAGATTCTTGAAACAACTGTGATCTTTGCCAGGAGAAAGCGAAGCACACAGCAAAAATGTTCGCCGCATGATTTTTTAAAAAACAATCTAATTAGCACAAATAGTTTTTAATTATTAAAGAAAACTCTAAAAAGAGCGAAGCATTATGAACATATGTGTTTATGTGCATTAACTTTTGCAATGCCAGTCGACATGAACATATAGGAAAACCTCGAAATTTATAATGAAAGACAAGTTAAATAAAATCAAATTCATTTTTCTATAATTTATAGCGAGTATAACAATATATGGCAGACTAAAAAAAAAATAGATCTAAAATTTTGATGATGAAAAATCAGTATTCTGAATCAAGTTTAATACATTACATAGATATAATAGATTAAGTTACAACCTTTTTGTCAGATCGATTGTATGGAATAATCGGTTAATAACACATAGATAAAGATCAAAGAGAAAGAAGGAACATAAAATGAGAGAAAGTCCATCCGAAGAGGGACAAATGTAATTAAGTAAGAAATTAGCACAACTAGATTTAAATTATTAAGAAAAAATCTAAAAAGAACGAAGCATTGTGAACATATGTGTCAATGTGCATTGAGTTTTGACAATGCTAGTCGATAACATATAGTAACCAGAACATTTATAACGAAAAGACAAGCTAAATAAAATCAAATTCCCTTTTCTATAATCTAGTGAATATAATCAATATATAGCGGGTATAAAATTTTGATTATGAAAAATCATTATTCTGCATCAAGTTTAGTATATTATATAGATTTTTACAACCTTTATGACAGATAGATTGTATGGAATAATCGGATAATAATACATGGAAAAGGATTAGGGAACAAATGATTCGAATGTCAATATATATGCAGAACTATACGGTAGTCTTAATAGTAATAAAAACATATAACTATGTACATATGTATATGTAGAGATTTTTGTTAATGTTAACTGTGGTGTGGTGTATTTTGTAAACATTTGGAGCTATTAAATGAGAAAAAGTTTGAGAGATAAAGGTAACTAATTAAGTTCCCTTATTATCCATCCCATAGGTTAAGGTAACGTTCCAAATTCCATTTTTTACATAGCTCTTTTAACATAGTTTCAAAGACAAAAACACGTTATGGCATATAGGAACAAAGATCCTTGAGCGAGGTTTTATACAATTCCCTCAAACTTTTTGTGATACACTGTTTTCAAGGGATGATGCCTAATTTAAGCATCAGAAAGTGTATTTTGAATAGTGTTTTAGACCCAAAGATGTCTGTAAAACATGACATTTTGCCTATCCTGTATTGAAGTAGTATCCCACAAACTCTAAACATATCTAAACGGATGTAGGTTACCAAAGTAAGTATTCAAAATACCTTATTCCGGTTCTGATCGGTTAACCTCGTTGCATACCAAACCAATGCTCTTTGGTTATACAACATGTCACGATATGACAGATGACTGGTGAATAAAGCAGTGATATAGACGGCCGTAAATAGATGAGATTTTAATGGATCGAAGGGTTGAGAAGAGAACACTGTAGACGTGTCTATCCTCCTCAGCTATCCCTGCGATTTTTTCTGATATAACTCATATAAAGCTAAAATTATAAAATAAATAAATTAATTGTTTATTTTGCTCTATAGTGACAAATGGCAATGACGAAAAAGACATGTTCGTTGCAACATTCATGGCCCCATATCACATGGGTGAAGGGACCCCATTTCCTTCTCAGTTTCGTATAAAGAAAGGGAGAAAATAAGCTACAGTGTAGGCCCCCATTCCTTTTCTGTGCCATTTGGCAGCACAGCGAACAAAGTTTAAAGTATATACTATTTTCTTGTCTAACTTTATTTTGATAATTTATCATACTAATTTATTGATAAATATGTAGCATTTTAGGAAAAATGAATGTTCAGTGCAAGTATAAAACCCTGCTTTTAAATGGAATTCCCTTGTTTTGAAATTAGTTACACTATTTCCGATGGCATATTGGTCTGCATATGGGTTTTATAAAAGCTTTTGATTTACTGGGTGCACAAAAACAAAGATTTACTGAATCATCTGTATATGTGAAAAGAAAAACGTTTCAGTAACCCTAACAGGTGTATAAAAGAAGATTACAAAAAATATTGTAATAATAATGTTTTTTTTTTTGGCGTCATGTCGTGATTTGAATGCCTCAATTTCAGATATGATCCGTGACAATGGTAAAAGCTTCTTCTGACTGTGTCAGAATGTTTTCATCATTCACTAAAAACAATGTCCCATGCTTCCACTTATAAAAACACGTACGCACAATCATAAAAACAAAAGCACCTCGATTGTTGATGATGATAGCATTTCACAAGCCAATCCTATGTTTTAACTAAATTTTTTAATCATCACCTTTAGATTTTTTTTTCATTTCTATGCAAATAACTTTATTAATGTCTTTCACCATAATCAAGATTTATAGCAGACGTCAAAACTATTAGGTTCTTCAACATTTCCAAAAGCTACTTTCTGAAATTGGATAACTTTTCTGCTAATCTCGCCCAAAGTTATTTACCATATTTTCTTCAGAAAGCAAATCATTTATAAGTTGCTCAAAAAAAAAAGCAAATCATTTATACATGTCGTGGAATCTTAAAGCTAATATTTGGAAAATATTGTCTTTAACGAAGTTAAAAAAGTACCGATTCTATACGTTGAATCAATGAAACATGTGTTCGTGTTTTGTTAGATTCACAAGAACTAGTCATCGATGTAGATTTAAGTTTACTGTTGATTGTCACATCAGATTTAACCTTGATTCATATACAATCGAGTAAATATGAAATATTGAATTTGTTTTTGTCGTGATCAGTGTCCACTAGTTCAAGGTCGTTTTCGTGGGTTGAATTTAGTTTTCGTAAAAAAAAATAAAAGGATGTTATTACTTATTATGTTTAAAGAAAGAAAGGAAAGTGAAAGAGAGATGTCGTGGTCGTGGGGAGAAAAGCTGCGGCTATGGAAAAAATAGTCACACGTCTTTTCTTTCATCATTTTCAATTTTCTTCCCATATTTGTCTCAGTTCCACTTTCACTCCATCTACCCTTTTAATAGCTCAATTAAAACCCCTTTATATTTCGTTAAAGTACAAGTAAACAGCATAATGAGTCATATAATACATAATTCTGAAGTATAAATTATATTTGATTAATCAAAAATTTATATTTGTAATAAACGTTTTCAAGTCTCAAAACCCATGAGTAAATTTTGATTATCATGAGTTATATGCTTAATCTTGCCATTAATATGATTAATCAAAAATTTATATTTGTAATCAACGTTTTCAAGTCTCAAAACCCATTAGTAAAATTTGATTATCGTGAGTTATATGCATAATCTTGCCATCTACTACCAATTAATTCTTATTTAAAGGTTGAATTTGACAAGTGGAATCTTTAAGGGTAAACTTTGGAATACAATTGGGACTAGAGGAGTAACTTTTATCTGAATTTTCTCATCGTGAAAACCCCTCCCGAAATCATTAATTAACATTTAGTCCCCTTATTTTTCATTATTCCAGTTTCATCCTTCGAAGAGTAAAAAACAGAGCACAGTAAACCGATCCTTCTTCCTCCTCCGATCAACGACTTTCATGTCCACTGATCAGACGCAGAGTACCAATTAAGAGACGGAGGTTGCTCGTCGGAGAAGAAACCACAAGCTTCTTCACCGCTAAAAAACTCGTCGTGATCCTCTGTTTGCTCTGTTTTCACGAACTGTAAGAAACTCCCGCCGGTAACCTTCGCCGGCGGCGGCGTCAATCTTCCGTTCTCCGAGCTGGTTTCCTCGTTTAGGACAGCGCTTGAGTCGCAGCTGTCGGAAGATCCAGCTTCGACGACGGGGTTCGGTAGAAGATCACGGAGATCGGTGAAGCTTCGCCGGTAGTTAAAACCGGTTGAATGCTCGAGAAACTGAGGAGGAGACGAAGGAATCGGATCTTCTTCTTCCTTCACGGCGGAGATATCACTCTCCGTCGCAACCTTGACGTTGTTATCTTCTTCTTCTCCGTTGATCTTACCTTTCATTTTACTAATCTGCAAAAAAAAAAAAAACCTTTAAAAAAAAAGTTTCGATTTTTATTTTTAAAAGGATGAGTTTTTATTTACCTCTTGGAGAAGAGAATCGTTATCGCGGCGGAGCGAATCGAAATTGTGGCGGAGAGAGTCGTATTGGCTCTTTAGAACGCCGTAGTCTTTTTCGAGCTGTTTTGTCTTCCACCGTGCACGGCGGTTCTGAAACCAAACCGCTACTTGACGAGGTTGAAGACCAAGCTCTTGTGCTAGTTTGGTTTTTCTCTCGGGTTCGAGTTTGTTCTCAAGCTCGAAATTCTTCTCGAGAGCTTTGACTTGGTCAACACGTAACCTCCTCTTCTTCTCCGAGAGACCCATGTGGTGGTGGTTGCCGGAATATTCCTCGACTATTGTACCGTCTTCTTCGTAGCCATCAAGCATAGACTGGAAATTAGTTCCGTTCCCTCGTGGACTTTGATCATCTGTTTGCGAGTAACCAATGAGTTTGTCAATTTAAAAGGAAAAATTATGATAACTTTGCTATTAAATCGAAATTCAAAGAAGACAATCAATCACATGGACTTGTCTGAATTTATTAAAAGGGTGAAAGAATACACACAAAAATGGTAAGCACCTGGAGAATTGGAGACTAGACCACACATTGAATCTGAGCTGCTTAGTCTTTTCATTATGACACCGAAAAGGGTTTAATGTCTTCTAGAGTTTACTAACTTTATGCTTCTAAATTTTCATTACAACAATATTCTAAACATAGTTCAGCTTCTTCACTTAAACCCACAAACAAAAGAAAAGACTTTAGAGAAAACAGAATTTAGAAATGGATGAGAAGCTCTTAGTTGGGCTATTTAGAAGCAAAGGGGGAAGAAGAGAGAGGGCAAGTGTTCTTCGTTTTCCAGTATGAACAAGTTGGTTTCACACTTTCTTTTCTTTAAATAAACCAAGCTTGGGTTAAAATGTAACTAGGGTTAAGTTTGTAATGAAACGGCAGCAGAGTTACATGACTCGGCTCGGCTCAAACGGAATCTGTGTGATACGTCACGACGCTATGGGTTTTACAATTTGATAATGCAGCTTAACCCTACTACAGTTTTTTAGTGTTTATAATTTCTAAACTTATAAATTCAGATAATAAATTTATTAAACATCCAAACCTAGATACGTAGGATGCATTTTATATTATTTAAGATAAACAAACACTCCTCTGAAAAACGTCAGAAGGTACGTCAGAAGATTTGATGACAAATTATTTTTTCCTTAATAGATAACATGTTAAATTATAAGGATTAGTATGTTAATCCCAATTAATTTTTACATCATTTGATTTGAGATCTAATATATTAAACTTATGTGGGATGTGTGTTATTGTTGGCAAAGGAGCAAAAGTGTGGAAAAAGGCTGTGGGTAAGGGAACAAAGACTGACAGCTTAGGTTTGGTTCTTTGAACCTGTCCAAAACGATGGGCTCAAACAATGCCACCGTCAAAAAGACAAGTGAATTAATACAGATGTAAAATATTTATTAAAACATATAGTTTTGGCCAGGCCGAATGAAACTTCTTTAGAATAATTAAAAGGAGTATTTTTTTCCCAATATTAGTAAAAGGAAGGGTTAAGTGGCAAAGAAGGTCAACGTTAAATTTAACAAAGTATTTTCAAGTATTCTCAACGTGAGAGAGAAACCTTTTGCTTGTTTGTACTTTGTACCAATCAAAGACTATCAAACTTTTAGCTAACATAAGAATTGCGTGCTTAATTATGGGCTTCGACGAGATCAAGTTCTTGTCGACCCACGTTGTCTAGATGGGAGAAAATGGAACATGTTAGAACTTATAAATAATGAGATGTCAGGCCTGTACATTTATGACCCAGTCTAATATAATGGACCTCCAAACTATACTTGTTACTATAGGCCTGATCTGTTTATTGCACTTTCTTAAAATATGTATGAATGAAAAATGATTTTTAAAAAAATATTGATGTAACCGATTCAACAATGTATCAAGGTAATCTTCAGTAGTGATAGCTCCACGAATCGAATTTATGTGCCTCCTATTCTATTGTTATGATAACTATGATTGTAGGTGAGCCAATTAATATGAAACTTCTTTTCGTTTTGGCTAAGTCTATACACACCACTTATCAACTTGTGATGGTTTTGTGTGTTTGTTTGTAGTATATTCTTGTCTGAAATCAAGGAAAAGGCAATTGCACGATGATACATCTTGACAGTAAAGCATTCATTACTTCGACCCTATCGAAGAGACAAACAATTCGTGTATAAGCATTGAACATGTGGACTGATATGCGAAGCGCAAATCTAGTGGATTAGACTATTTCATTAAACAAGTGGTGACAAAAAAAAACTTACTAATAGAAACGAACTTCTATTAGCCCAAATAGACAATAATTTCCCTCGTTTCAGTTTTAAAAACTTTTTCTAAGTTCATCAAAGTCAAAATTATTATAATTGTTACCCTTTTGAAGCTTCTTCGAGATAATTTTCTCTTTTTGCTTAATATATAAATAAATGCAGTGTTCGGATCTGATATATGTAAACCTTCATGAAGATACATTCTGCATTTCGACGTGGACTAAACACATTGATCATAATAAGCACTTTGACATTAATATTTTTGGGTTTTGGTCAGAAGCACTTGAAATCCTTTTTTTGCCTTTTTTCTTATAGGAATAGTTTGATTTTGTACAAACGTACGTTACCCTTTTAAGAATGGGTGAATAAGGAGATGATAAAATTCCATTTTAAAATTGTTTGAAAATGGAAAGTAGTCTTGGTAAGAACTCGAACAAAAAAAAATGTATAGTTGAGTGATTCTCCGTATATATATATAACTGATTATTTTGACCCATGTTGGTGGTACTCTACATCGAATCAAATAAAAACAGTTTCCATTCTTGACCCAAATAAACAAATATTATATTTATGTTCTCTCTTTACTAATCAGCAAAAACATTAAAGTCCTAGAAAGCCATAATAATATATCTTTGTAAGATCAATCATCTTCATCATCCAAAGGCTAAAAGCTTTAATCGATGGGAAGAATCCTAAGTTTTGCAGCTCTAATCGGAATGATCAAAGACAAAGCTTCTCAAGGCAAAGCTGCTTTAGTCTCTTCAAACCCAACAAGCAAGTCTCACACTTTCCATCTCTCCGTCCTCCGTGCCACTACTCACGACCCTAAAACTCCTCCGGGAAATCGTCACCTCGACGTTCTCCTCTCCGCCGGTACTGGCTCACGAGCCACCGCAGCTTCCGCCGTCGAAGCCGTCATGGACCGTCTCCACACAACCAAAGACGCCTGCGTCGCTCTCAAGTCATTGATCATCGTCCATCACATCGTCAAACACGGTCGTTTCATCCTACAAGATCAGCTCTCTGTTTTTCCAGCTTCCGGTGGTCGGAACTATCTGAAGCTTTCTGGGTTTAGAGATGAGAAATCCCCTTTGATGTGGGAGCTTTCCTCTTGGGTCAGATGGTAAGTTAATAAAGTTTCAGTTTTTATGTTAAAGTTTGTATTTTTATATGTTTGATTCTCTGTTCTTAGGTACGCTTTGTATCTTGAGCAACTGTTATCAACTTCAAGAATCATGGGCTTCTTCGTTTCTTCAACATCAAGCACGATCCACAAAGACGAGTACGAAGAGATGGTTTCGTCTCTTACCAACAATGATCTGCTTCGTGAAATCGACGCGCTCGTTGGTTTATTACAAGAAGCATGTAAAATTGCGGATGTACCCTTCTGTGGAGGCAAACCTCTCGCGGACATGATCACCCGTTTGGTCGGAGAAGACTACGTGTCTTCGGTCAACGAGCTTCACACGAGGCTCAACGAGTTTAAAGATCGGTCCAATATTTTGAGTTTTGGAGATTCGTTCGAGCTTGTCTGTGCTTTGAAGAGGCTGGAGAGTTGTAAAGAGAGATTGTCTGTGATATTCCATGGAAAGAGAGCTTGGATCGATGGGTTCTGGGGTTTGGTTCGTGAAGTCAAGGGCATGATTGGTGGTTTAGAGGATAGTTATGAGCAGATTGGGAGGAGAGGGAAAGGATATGAATCGGCTCGGTTTACTGATCGGTTAGTTATTGGTTATGGTGACACTGTTCGGTTTTCTTCCGGCAGGTTTTCGAATGTTGATCGGTTTAACTACCCGGTTTCTAGTCGAACATTGTGTTAAGAGTTAACCGACTTTGAATCTCTTGTGATTTTTTGCTGTCAGGTCAGATGTGTTGTAAATTTTGTAACACAAATTTCAGTTACAGAAAGATAGAGAAACAAAATATTTCAAACAGAGTAATGATATCATACCCATAGAGAAAAAGATAATTATATTTCAATCACTATAATCAGATAATATTTCTAGTGTAGCCACTATAAAGTCAAGGCGTAGATGGTGATAACATTTATTTGTGGGATGTTGATATAATGAGAACAATTCGAGTTTTGAAGTAAATTACATCTAAGCTTGCCTTTCCATATGTTTTTCTAATAATGAACTATATACATTAATTACTACGTTTCTATATGGGATATAATGAACAAACACCTGACCTTTGGCAAAATGTATATGGTTATGCAAAAAGTATATGGCAAACGTTATGGTTTTTAATTATAGTGGACTATACAATACTATGTTTTTGTATGAGCGCGAATACCATGAAAAACGTTCTTGAGTAAATAAAACGATTCACATGATATCAATAGCTTAAATCAGAATCTCGTCACTCAGGTTAATCCCATGGTCCATTAGAGTTATAAAGAAGCAAAAAAAAAAAAAAAACATAGACACCAACAAAGAGGAATAAACACAAAATGTATTAGAGAAAAGAGAGAAACTCGACAAACAAATCATATTGATAAGAACAAACAAAGGATATATAGAGAAAGAGAATAATATACTCAAGGCTTTCCTAAGCCAAAACGACCGCGTACAAGGCTCCGGCAATGACGGTGCTCACGAGGAAAGCTTTGTTAGTCAATGCTGAGTCAGCAACTGGTCCTTCAGCTTCAGGAGCCGGAGCTGGTGACGGTGATGGGGTTGGTGTTGGTGTTGAGGCAGATGGGACTGGAGCCATAGCTTTCGGGGGAGAAGCGACAGGGGAAGTTTTTGGAGACTTAGTCGGTGAATAGACGGGGGGAGGAGTCGCTGGAGCTGGAGTTGGCTCGGGAACCATAACCGGTGGTGAAGCAACGGGTACCGGAGAGGGTGGTGAAGCAACCGGTACCGGAGAGGGTGGTGAAGCGGTTGGTGTCATAGCAGGAGACTCAACCGGTGGGAGAACCATGATGGGTGCTGGAGCCGGAGCTTGAGCCATACAGGACGTGGCCAATAGACCAAGAAAGATCAGAGCTTGCATTGTCTTAAGAGCTGCCATCGATCTCTCTTTCAAACTTCTTTCGTTGTTTGTAGAGATAGAAAAACTTAGAAAAGCTCTTGTCTTCGTTGGTGGTGTAGAATTGAGGAAAAGGTTTTGTATATATAGTTAGGAAAATTATATTAAATTCTAGAAAACAAAAGTATTTTAGAATGATTATCAAACATCTGGCCATTTTGATCATGCAAGCACATACATAGATATACACCTCTTATAAGTATTTGTTTATTGATTTGAAATATCAAAACTAGTAGTCTTTACCATGTCCTTTGATTTTAAAGTTTTCTGGAGGAATTGTTTATATGGAGGAGCACCAAACATAAGCATATAAATGTAATAGTCTTTACCATGTCCTTATTTTTAAAATTGATAATTATCTATTGTTGACAGGTTGTTTATAAAAACATGATTAATCCGGAGTTCTTAAGTTGGGATCTTTAACGGAAATTAATAAACTGTTTCTTAATATTTAACTAAAAAAATTAAGAACTGATTTTTAATTAAAAATTAAGAAACAATTTTTTAATTTCTACTAAAAATTCCACTCTAAGAATTTCGGATTAATCATAGACTAATTTCACTTTTGGTTTACCATGTGAGTGAGTTTCATCTATAATGACCTTGGCTTTCCTTAAGGTTATATATATCACTGGTTCAAAAAAAAAAAACTTATATACCATGTATTGTGAAGTTTACAATATAATCAGACGAGTTTTACATCAAACAAGGATAAGACCCGCGCCTTGCGCGGGATGAAGCTATTATTTTTATTATGTTTTGAAAAATGAAACAATAGTTCGGTTTCATTCGGATTATAGGTGCTCAATCCGGATATCGGATTTCGGTTCGGCTCAATTTTTTGTCCGATTTTTTGGTATTTCGATCATTAAAATATAACTACTATTCTAAATCTATATGTACTACAGTTTGATTTGGTTTATATACCATCAGTTTTTCAGTTTATTCAATTTTATACCAAAAAACATTAATTAGTTTGAGATCATATTATATATTATACAAATATATAATATGATCATATTTAGAGTCATATTGCCACATGGTCATTTATTAAAAATATATTATATATTTAAATAAAAGAAAAAAACAAAAAGACTTCTATCATCTAATAAAATGATCAAATCTAGAATTAATATCAAAACACTAAATTTTGAAGAAAAAAAAACAGAAGCATGAAAGAAAAGTTTTTATATTCTTCCATATTTAGTGTTCATCAAACCAATATGTCTTTGATTGAACACAACTCTGTTTGTTTAAAGATAAAAGAAAATTGTAAAGAATTTCAACTAATTGTTGTCCATCAAATTTGTAATCTTTACTTCAATTTAGTTACTGTTAAAAAAGCAAAAGATCAAAATAAGAAGTCTCAGTTGTAATAAATTGTTAGCTATTTACAAAATATAATTATAGTTCAACTCATATAACAAATAGATATTAATGTGTCGTTATAAATATATACATATTTACATGTTTCAGTTTAATTGGTTATAAATCAACCATATCCAAATCCTATGGTTTTTATAAAATCACATCCATTCGGTTTGTAAGGTATATACCAAAACTAACCATATTATTGATTGTTAATATCTTTTAAAAATATAAAATTAAAAAAGAACTAAGATATTTAAATCATTGATAACAAAAATTTTCAATGTGAAAAATTTAATAAGTTTATAATTTATAAATGTTCTTGAAAATTTATTGAAAATTTTGAAATTAAAATATTTATGTAATCTTATATGGTATATAGTTTAATCTGTATATATATTTGTTTNATATATATTTGTTTTATTATTGAATGATACTTTTACTTATATGGTTTTAAAATCATGTATATCTTTTTATAATAAAAATGTTAAACTATTGATCATTAATTTTTAACATAATAATTTTAATAGTTTAGTTATTTATTCTCGTTTTTAAAAATTCAAAATATAACTTATACGAAAAAATCGAAAGTTTAACATAAATTCCGAAGTTAACATATTAAGTTTTACATTTTACATATACACTTGTCTTTACCATTAAGTATGTACTTGGTCACAAAGTAATTTCCATTTTACATATACACTTCCATAAATTAAAAGGAATGAAGTTATTATAGTTAATATATGCAAATCGTTGCAAATCGTATATTTTCCTTTTCTTCCATTACATGCGTGCGATATATATAAATATATAAACTATGTTACATGCGTTATATGCATCTCTAATTATTTTTCCATAGCAAATTTCAATTGAACCTAAAGCTGCCACGTTAGTTTAATTGGTATGCTAATTGATTGACAACTAAGCAAGGTTACTTTTTAATTAATACAAACTTGAGGTTACATCTTTTCAAATGTTTCTCAATTAATATATAGGGTATTAAGAAAATGTCATATTTCGTGACAACCTATATGCTTGGAATATCTTTTTGTTTATGTCAAGAGACAAGTCCACGCTGAATTACTTGGTTCCCACTAAGGCTAAGACGAGGTAGACAAGCAACTTATTATCTGTGTATGATTATGACACATTTATATTTTTATGAGCAATGTGAAGTCCTTCATCCTAAACTAAAAAGTAGACCGAAATTCTAAAACCAACAAAAATTAAACGTAAAGCAAACCAAATTTCAGCTGAGTCCTAATCAAATCACATTGCTCTTTTTTTTTTTTTGCTAAGAATGTCTATATCATTTAAAGAAATGAACTTAACAAAGAGCAATGAAAAAAACTCCAAATAAAACATAAAGAAAACGCCAACAATACCATACTTGTAACTACGAAATTCCAATATTCTCAGACAGAGAGAGAGAGAGCGAGAGGAGCCACATTCGTCGGAGGATGGATCAACCGGCGGTAGAGACAGTAGTGAAATCGGAAGTTCCGAACCAGGTGGATCAGGGGTCGAAAGGTAATTAAGTGTATTTTACCTAAGTGCAATGTGAGATGTGTACGTAACCGTTGCAAAACTCTTTAGGTTCAGAAACGATGGAGTCTGTGAAAGATGTGATTGGGAGATGGGGAAGGACACTCGGAGAAGCAGCCATGAAAGCAGAGAGCCTTGCCGGAAACACGTGGCAGCACTGTGAGTTGTCCCATTACATATAATATATGTTGTTTGGTCTCTTTTGAATATAGCAATGAATATTGCCATGATCAGTGAAAACTGCACCGAGTTTTACGGATGCTGCAATGGGAAGAATTGCACAGAGTACAAAGGTGATTGCTGAAGGAGGCTATGATAAAATTTTCAGACAAACTTTTGAAACAGCTACAGAGGAGAAGCTGCAATACTCATATGCATGTTACTTGTCAACATCAGCTGGTCCTGTCATGGGCCTTCTCTACATATCCACTTCCAAACTTGCCTTCTGTAGCGATAACCCTATGTCTTCTTATAACGCTTCTGGTCAAACTCAATGGAGCTATTTTAAGGTCTAGACTATCCTTTTTAATACTCACGTTGGAATTCTATTACAACATTTCTTGTGCATACTCTATGCTTAATTAGTATGCTTATTATTCATCTTGTTAAACAGGTAGTAATCCCATTACATCAGGTTAAATCGGTTAACCCTTCGACAAGCACAGTCAATCCCGCAGAAAAATACATCCAAGTAATCACTATTGACGACCATCTTGTTACATCTTTGCAAGATACGTTGCAAGCCAGTGCCTTACAGTCTGTTTGATATATGTATATATGTACCCTGGTGCATTCCTGAACACAATATCAACTTTATTGTTGCATTCCAAACAATCTATTTGATACACATGCTTGATCAGTTACCATATGTCTCTTAATACACCCGATAGCATTCCTTTCTAAGTATTCTCCAAATCATCATGTTTTAATTATTCCTAACAGAAAGATACTAATTGGTTCTCTGCTATTTTTCGTTTTGTCGTGCGTCTACTTCCTCTTCCCCTCGGTGATCTCAATATTGGTATCTCTTTCCATCTTTATCCTTATGTATAATGGGCTTTTACAAATTACGGCCCACTGTAATTATCTATGTATGCGTAGGATCGAGAAAATCACTTGTTCTAGACTAGATGGCGATGTTAACTACTACTTTCACGTTATCATTGACAAACTTGTCAAGGATCGTTACGTTTACGTGCACATGTATTTTATTCGTACATATATACGTCAACTTCATGTGTGAGAGAATATGTCATACACAAACAAAACTATTTTTATCTACTCTTTTTTTTCTTTTGAGTTTTATTGTGTGATGTTTTATACAGAATCGAATTATCCAACGATAGCAATAAGATTTCGCTTTCTACTATATATGACTAGTGTATATGTCCTATTGATACAGGATAAGTAACATAAGTTAACAAGAAACAAATACACACGTTATATATTCGCAAATTGAGAGAAGCGATGAGGTTTGACAGTAGAAGATATTGAAGTTAATTAAGCTTACTCTTCAGAATTTTTTCCTACTTAACTAATTTAAAATATGGAACTCGACTTTTTCTTTCCTGTCTATTTTAGTTACGAGAGAGATATTCTAACATATCATCATTCACCAGAGAGAGTTTCTGATAATTTACTCCTTTCTAGTTTTGCTTCTCTCTCTCTCTCTCTCTCTCTCTCTCTCTCTCTCTCTCTCTCTCTCTCTCTCTCTCTCTCTCTCTCTCTCTCTCTCTCTCTCTCTCTCTCTCTCTCTTTCGCTTGCTATTATTCCCCTCACAAACTTATCTCTATACATAACTTACAAACAAAAGAATCAGCTAATTAAAAACCAATGGTATTTTTATTATAGGTTTGTTTAGTAGTGGTGCATCGAAACAAGACGTACTTTGAAATGGTAGTATTAACAAAAACATCAAAAAACTATTCTAAACGCAACATTTAAGAAAATGTATGTATAGTTGGCTAATGAAATAATTTTGATATGTGATGGCAAACTAACAAATTATGAATTTAAATAATTTATCATACATTACTTTGGTGTCTTTCATATCTTGACAACGCAACAACACCAACGAGGCTACCCACACAAGCTGTTGAAAAGATGTTGTGGTCAACGCAAAATTTGATTAGAGAAAGGGAGGAGGAGATTACGTACAAACTTAAACCGGATTTGCCAGCAATATATCTAGAAGATTCACTGTAAAGCATATTATAGAGTCTTATCTCTCAAATCATAAAGAGTTTCCTCGTAATTAATCATCCACGGGTTAAAGAAAAAACTATAGGCAGATGAGTTTGACACGTGTCGATAACTTGAGCATCAATCACACGCAAAACGATTGGATAAAACACGACACATCATCAATTTTGGACGGTTGTAGGATACACTTGTCCACCAATCAACGGTAGATATGAACTCTTAGCTTTATTTCTAACTTTTATCAATTAAATAAATAACAATAGTAGTTTTTTTTTGGTTTTGGATCAAATCATAAAAATATAAAATCGTAGATTAATGATTGGATAATGAAATTTGTGGCCGTTGGATCTTAACCAAAACCAAAAGATTGGAGAAATCGAATTTATAAATTGGAGAAGACAACTGGCTCCTTGAGTAGGAGAGACATATCTGGTCGGGAGGGATAAGGAGGAGGAGGATAGATAGATAGTTTGGTCTTAAAACTTTTGTTGTCTGATCGATTTAATTTTTAAAGGAAATCTCATCTCTTTCCTGGAAAATCGAGCTCGAAAGTTTTGACCTTTTTTCTCATTCGTCGTAGCTTTTAGACATTTTTTTTTTCATTTCTCGGCTGTCAATTAAGAACCAGTCTCTAAGGTAGAATTTAAGAAAACTGGGTTCAATTTCAAGGAAAAAAAAATCTAATTCTTGAGAATGATCAAGAAAAAGATCCCGGCTTGGCCTTGGTGGTTGTTAGGAGGTAAAAAGGAGAAAGAGACAGAAGCTCACAATCGAGCCAAAGGAAAGGTTAACAAGCGAAAGGAGCTGGAACTTGAGAGCTTTGGTTCGTCTGGTTCAGAATCTGTAGCTCTTTCTGCTGTTGCTGCTGTTGATGAGTGGTCTGTTGGATGGACTGAGCCACTTGGACCTGGTTTCCAAAGCGATGAAGATGGAGATGATGGTGGCTTCTTAGTCCTGGTTCCTTGTTACAAAGCTGTCGCTGAAGGTGCTAGTAATAAACAGCTCTTGACTGCTGTCAAGAATCTCCCCAGCGGTTTGTCTCCTGGTATGAGCTATTATCTCTCTTGTGGTTGATTTTAAAGGCTCATGTTTGTTGTTTAGTATTGCTCAGAATCTTTGGTTTTGCTTAGTAGCATGAGAATGTGTATACATTTGTGGTTGATTTAAAGCGCAAAATTTTCTGATTCAGTTTCGTTTTGTTCCAATCAAATGTGCAGATGGGAAGAACTACATGGATCAATGGCTTTCATCTCTGCAGAAGCTTTGACCAGGTCTCTTCCTTGTGTAGTTAGTTAGTAGTTTTAGTTATCTAACAACTCTCTGAAGAACCAGTTTGGTTACTACATAAATCCTGAAAACCAAAAAAAAGGAGAAAAAGAGTGAAAAAAGAAGAAGCACAAGTAGTTTACGGTTTAGATTAAGATGATACGGGTTTTGTTTATATTGATATTGGAAACGGATTAAGCTCAAAAAAGGAAGAAAAAGAGTTAAAAAAAAACAATGTGTGGGAATGGAAAAAGATGAAACAAGAGGCAGTTTCAGAGTTCATATAAGATTATTTAAGTTGATTACACTGAGCAACGAAAGAGGGTGGATAATAATTAACATTGATTCTAGGAGAGGATTTAAAGTGGGAAGAAAGGAATATGAGATTGGGTTGGAGGAAGAAAGAAGAAGCAGTAATGCTAGAGTTTCTTGATATCAGGATTTGATGGTGTGGAAGGGGATTGATTATTCATCCTCCATGTAAAAAGTCTCCAATGTAAATACACAGAAAGAGTGATGTACATACTCTTATGTTGTCTTGTATCATATAACTCTCTTCTTCCTCAAGACTGAATTTGATGTATTGTATTTGTATGTAATTGGTTAACTACCACTGATATTTTTGTATATAGAAACAGTAATGCCACTGTAAAAAATGTATATATTGATGTAAAAAAAGGAATAAAAGTGTAAAAAAGGAATAAAAATATATATATTGTAATTGGTGAGGCAGGAATAGTTTCTCCATATGTCCTGGATAGATTCTTATTTAGCTAGTAAAAGAGACATAAGTCTTTGGATCTAGTTTTTGAATTTGTGATTTCAAAACTTGATCAAAAGTATATTAATAAGAAAAAAAGTACAGTTTCACAAAAGAAAATGATACTTTTCAAGTCCTTCTGTATGTATCTGAGAACCACAGTGTTCAAAAGAATCCACCGTCAACTAATAAATTATGTATTAAGCAGCTAATTGTTTGAATACTTAATCTTAAAGAAAACTTTTATATATTGCAGTCTTCAACATTTGGGTAAGTGTGAAAGCATTTACATATCAAGGGTATTCCAGTAATTGAGTTAACGTAAAAGACAAACCGCTGATAGGTTGATGATGTCGACATGAGTGAGAATGATAACTTACGTAACGCTCTGTTTCTCACTTTTCTGAAACCCAAAAAAAGGAAGAAGGAAGCTACAAGTTCAGTTCACACACACACACACACATCATAACCAAAAGCTACTCTACTCTCTCTTACTAGGTAACAATGGAGTCGGGGTCGGGTTTGGATCCGAATAGTAGTAGTAAGAGCAAAGGAGGAGGTGGCAATGGAGAGGGAAAGTTCGGTGCGTTCATGAAGAGAGTAGAACCCTTCTTACCAAGAAAGGACTTGAACCCGATAGAGCTGAGATCTTGGGCCAAGAAAACCGGTTTTGTCTCTGATTACTCGGGGGAAACCAGCACAAAGTTCGGTGAGAGCTCTAGTTTTGATTTGCCAAAAGGTAGAGATCATCATCAAATAGAACAAGTGACGTCACGTCAAACCGACCTCGACCCGATTCTGGACCGAAGTAGTAGACGATCTGATATCGGATCTGATTCCGGTTCCAAACCGGGTTCTGTTGAGGAAGAGAGGGGATCAAACCGGAATGAGATGGAGAATGAAGGCGGGAAAAGCAGTAGGGATTTAGAAAATGGATGTTACTATCCAGGTGGTGGAGAAGGAGAAGGTGAAGGTTGGCCTAAACCCATTGTAATGAAGTATGGTCTCAGAGACAATCCTACTGGCTTCGGTTAGTTTCTTCAAGATTCTTCCAAACACATGTTCGGGAAGATTCTTTTTGTTGATGATTCTTTTTTTTTTTTTAAATGTAGGTGCGCTTATTTATTACGGTTTGCAACACTATCTCTCACTTGCTGGTTCACTTGTGTTTATACCTCTTGTTATTGTCCCAGCCATGGATGGTTCCGATGTAAGCTTCTTCTTTATTCTTCTGTGAAAGCTTACTTTGTTTTGGTTCTTGACTTGTTCTTTGGACTTTTGATGATTGATCAGAAAGATACAGCCGCAGTGATTTCAACAATGCTGCTTCTTACTGGAATCACAACCATACTTCACTGCTATTTCGGTACTCGTCTTCCTTTGGTTCAAGGAAGCTCATTTGTTTACTTAGCCCCGGCTTTGGTTGTCATCAACTCAGAGGAGTTTAGGAACCTCACTGAGCATGTAAGCTTTGCTAAATAAAGAGGATTTTTGTTTTCTTCGGAAACTTTGTGATAAATAAACTTGTGTGTTTTGTGCAGAAATTTCGGTACATAATGAGAGAACTGCAGGGAGCTATAATCGTTGGTTCACTGTTCCAGTGCATTTTGGGATCCACTGGTCTCATGTCTCTCCTTCTTAGGTGATTTTAGTATCCGCAGATTCTTGGTTTAGTTTGAAGTATTGTTCTCTAATTATATGTTTCCTTTAAAAACTATGGTTTCAGATTTATTAATCCAGTTGTAGTAGCACCAACAGTAGCTGCAGTAGGATTAGCATTCTTTAACTATGGATTTCCACAAGCCGGCACTTGTGTTGAGATCAGCATTCCTGTAATAGTTCTCCTTCTCATTTGCACATTGGTAAGGATGTTCCATACAACTTGAATAACAACAAGAGTCATGTTTCTGTCTCTCTCTGATAAAAAAAAATTCTTTCAGTATCTTCGTGGAGTTTCACTCTTTGGTCATCGCATATTCCGAATTTACGCGGTATGTATATTCATCTTTTTGCAAAAGTACAGTCATCTTCTAGAGCTAAAGCATTTTGTTGTTGCTTACCATGTTGTTGCCAGGTGCCGCTTAGTGCCCTGATCGTCTGGACATACGCATTCTTTTTAACAGTTGGTGGTGCATATGACTATAGAGGTTGCAACGCCGACATACCAAGCTCTAACATACTAATAAACGAATGTAAGAAGCACGCGTATACTATGAAGCATTGCAGAACAGATGCTTCCAACGCTTGGACAACTTCTCCTTGGCTCAGAATCCCTTACCCATTTCAATGGGGGTTTCCTAATTTTCACATTAGAACTTGTATCATTATGATCTTTGTGTCTTTAGTTGCATCAGTGGATTCAGTAAGTATATGTTCTTTCTTTTGTCAAAATGTGTTGAGGTGTGATGATCTAATCTTGCTTGCTGCTAAATGTGTACACTTGTTGTTGTAGGTTGGAACATATCATGCTACGTCAATGTTAGTGAATGCTAAGCGTCCTACACGTGGTATTGTGAGTAGAGGTGTTGCATTAGAAGGCTTTTGCAGTTTATTAGCTGGGATATGGGGTTCTGGTACAGGTTCAACCACGTTAACCGAAAATATTCATACAATCAATATCACCAAGGTTGCTAGCCGAAGAGCTTTGGCAATAGGAGCTTTGTTCTTGATATTTTTTTCATTTGTGGGTAAGCATCATCATCTACTGACAGATCCAAAGTGTAAATATTTATACACTCACTCCTCTCTATTTTTCTTTAAAATCTGACAGGAAAGTTAGGTGCTATTCTTGCTTCAATACCACAGGCTTTGGCTGCATCAGTCTTATGTTTTACATGGGCACTCACAGTGGCTCTAGGTCTGTCTAATCTCCGGTACACACAAACAGCGAGCTTTAGGAACATAACCATAGTTGGAGTTTCACTGTTTCTAGGACTATCCATTCCTGCTTATTTTCAGCAGTATCAACCACTATCTACTCTGATTCTACCGAGCTATTACCTCTCCTTTAGCGCCGCTTCAAGTGGACCATTCCAAACGGGTATCATGCAAGTAAGCCACTTTCTCTTTCCCTTGATTAGCATTTTTATGGACAATGACAGAGCGAGTCTCTTTTAATGCAAACTGCAGTTGGATTTTGCTATGAATGCTGTGATGTCTATGAATATGGTTGTAACATTTCTACTGGCTTTCGTGTTGGACAACACTGTACCGGGTACTAAGGAAGAGAGGGGAGTCTATATGTGGTCACGAGCCGAGGACATGGAGATGGACCCTGCAATGCAAGCTGATTACTTCTTGCCAAGTAGAGTTGCTCAGTTTTTCCGTTGCAGTTGTTGTTAGTAGATGTTTTAAGATTTCATTTTTCTTTTCCAATAGCTTACAGAGAGACCCACATGTTCTTACTTAATATATATGGAAGAAAAGGTTCTAATGAAAAGAGTGTTGCGTTTGTGAGAAACTGACTAATCAACAGATGGAGCAGAGTACACAAATACACAAGAATAATGAATTTTCCTCAAAGATTGTTGTTTGGTGTTACTGTTATAAGCTATGATATTAAAAAAACTTACAAGAGGGTGTACATACTAGCTTGGGATCGTATCTACGGGGTTGGAAAAAAAAAGAAGAAAAGAGTATTTGATCAGTACTTGATGACATGGTGGCGTAACCATAACTCATACATGATCATATGAAACGCATCGAATTTAACTGGTGGTGAGTTCCATTGAAAATGCTTCTGAACCTGCAAATCAACAAGACTAATCATCAGCTTCTTCTTATACAAACATTTGAAGAAAAGGGTGAACATTTGTAATCTTTACCTTGACTAAGTTGTTATGCAACGAAACAAACTCTGACTGTGGTATGTTCTTGAGGATATCCTTGAGGTTATAAACATCTCGCTCTCTGAGCACAACCGCAAACTTTCTCCAATTCAGAATGTCGTTGAAAGGCAGGTCATAGTAGTCTGACAATATAACTGATCCAAAACAACAAGATTCATAAGTTTTAGTCTCTTTGAGTGGAGTAAAAGAGTATTAAAAGCACACACTTACCAGGAATACAACCGTAATGGATTGAGTCAGTTATACGAGCACTGTTGACTTGAGAACCACCAGGGCATATGCAAAACTTAGTCCTGTAAAATCTCTTCTGATACACTAAATGCCCCGTAGCTCTGTTTATTCTGTTGTTTGAAATATCAAGCTCTGTGTCGTTTTCCCACACACGGGCAAGTATCACACGTATCTTGGAGTTTCTATGACCAGCCCAAAAACCAAGCGTTGTCCTGTATAACACCAACACTATTAGTAACCACTAAACCAAGTCCCAACAATATTAGACACAGACACTAAGTTGTTTTTTACCGGTTCTCAACATCATTTCCACCGGCAGGGAGTGCAAAAGGCTGAAGCACTTGAGGCAAAGCAACATCTTTATGAGGAATGAAACTAACATTGTAGCTAGGCGAGCACACAACTCTAATAGTATTCTTAATCATAAGCGGAGATCCCTCGAAGGCTCTAACACCAACGTCGTGACAAGTAACAAAGAAATGATCAGCTCCTAATGTTCTATTCCAAAACGGATACTTTGCAATCAACCCATCAACGTAGTCCCGAACAATCACAGTCATATTCTCATACGATGTCCCCTGCAAAAAAAATCAAACTTTCAAATGACAGATAGTTTATAAAAGAATTGAAGTGGGGGAAAGAGTGTTACTTTGCCACGCATCTTGTGACAAGAAACAGGGACGAAGAAGAGATCAGCTTCCTCTGGATCTAACGTACGGAAGTGACTCTCTCTGATGTTCTGAAAGAAGTAACCTTCGCTGGCGTATTTGCCGGTGACTTTCCTCGGCGTTTGGTAAAAGGAATTTGGATCTCCGTCGGGGTAAATGTAAACCTTGAACCTCCTCTCCATCTCCGCGTAATTCGATTTGAACGACTCCGGCGAGTGATACACATCGGAGTAATTTTCTTCATCCTCCGGAGATGCGCCGTCGTTATCCTTGGAGAAGGTCTGAGGGAGCTGATTGGCGCCGACGAGGATGGGAGACGGCGGGGAGGTGCGGAGGGAATTGAGAGAGAGGAAGAAGAGGGAGAGGAAAGTGAGGACGGCGAGGGTGAGGAGTGATCCTTTGACTGAACATAACGGCGAGGAGGAGGAGGAAGAGAGCTGCGACGGTTTCACGATCGTCATCGGATTCGGACCGGGACGGATCTATTACTAAAGCTGTGTCCTTTGGTCTCGGCGAAGCTCACATGTGCATTACCATCAAAAAGGAAAATTATGATGATGCTTATTAACATGGGCTCGTTTGATTAAATAACTCAAATTACTATATTTTACTATATTTTATTGTTATTGTATTATGTTTTCATTATCATTTTTATTCATTACACTGATATTAAACATTGCATTTTGTACTGTATTAGAGAAAGCAAAATCTTCTAGGGATATATGTCAGCCGTGGGAGTATGTCTTTGTGGTTTAGATGTTGTACATATGTTACTGAGATTTGTTAATACTTGTACTTTTCAAGTGTTTAGTTTGTTCTAAACTTTTTACCTTTTTTTTTGTGTCGGCAAGTTGTTCTAAGCTCACATATGCATACATCGATATATCTACCAATGCCTTAAGCCACTCAGCCATCCCTCCAAATTCTTGATCGGAATTTTTTTAAGAGTCAAGGCTTACTTATTTAAGCTGGAATGAAAATCTTGCTGTTCAGAAAAAAAAGAATGAAAATTTTCTTCATATTTTATAAAGTTCCATTTCTTTGGTCGATCTCCCTTTTTGAACGATTCATGAGTATTGGTCAAGATTTGACGGAATACGACCCCGGTTCGTTCTAACACTCTTCCGTCTAACGTTAGACTGCATCTCAAACTGTCTATCTTAACCAAACCAGAAAATTTAAAATTCTAGTGGTCCAAATTTAATTTATTAGTATATGATTTATTTTTATGGAGGAGAAAAGGAAATCAGCTTTAACTAACAATTTTCTTTTTGTGAACTAACTTTAACTAATAATTTGAACTATTATGAAAAATACTTCATAAAACATAATTAGCACTTTTGCTTAGTGAATAATTATTACTTTCATAATATTATTTATACGTACACATGAGAACTCTGTCAAATATAAAATACATTTTTTTTACTAATTATAACAGCCATTTTCAGATAGCTTTGTCTTGTCACCACAAAATTTATACCATGGCATGCAATCAAATTCAACGTTACAACTTGTTCATTGTGAATGAAATACAAATTTTCACAATAAACACTTAAGATATCAAAAACTGATAAAAGAATTACTGCAAAATCTTAAAAGATCTATTATGAGAAAAGGAAATTGTTGGGAAATCAGAAGCCCATAAGAATCAGGAAACTAAAATATTCTTCTATGAAACCGAGTCCTATTAGAACTCTGATGTTTAGAAGTCAAAGTAACTCCTAGTTAGGTTTTGGTATACCTATTCCCTTTTAGTCTTGGAATTTGCTTAATAACAAATTAAACCACACGCATATATAAATACGGATGTCTACGCAGATATCTTATTCTAACATTACTATTCAATCTTTGAGGTTTGGTAAAGAAAATATGATTTTGCAGAAGAAAACTTCGTCGATGATCTGTTTCCTTCTGTTGTTTCTTCTTCCAATCGTTTTTTCTGAGCCGGCTAGGTGAGTTTATTTTTATCTTCATGACATTTTTACGTTACGGTCAAACATACACATTAACATATATATGAACATCTATGTATGTGCACAAAGTTCACAAGGCTGTCAAATCTCATGCATATTTTTCGTTTGTTCGTTTGACAACAATTGTGATTTTCGTATGAGTTTAAAGATTATAGATTTTGACATAGAAATTTTGATTAACCAAAAAGTCTTTGAAGGTTATACAATTTTTGTTTTGTGTCTAACATAAGAACCAAACCCCTAATGTCTATCATCCGTCATAATTAACTACGTTGATTGTATGCAAGTGCACCGAGCGTATTCAATTCAATGTATTTACGTTATTTAATTGTGATTATTGAACTCTTACAGGAATGGAATAAGGGCAAGAGCTCCAACGGTGCAGCAGATAAGAAGCAGACATGGAACTAGAGAGGTATGGTATATACAACATGTCTTTTGATCAATGATTATAAGATCATCATGCAGATATATATGCTAAATAATTAAATTATATAACCTTTTCAGGTGATAGTGGACAATGGGATTATCAGAGTCAGTTTCTCTAGTCCTCAAGGACTTATAACTAGCATCAAATACAAAGGAATCGATAATGTTCTTAATCCACATGTCCGAACTCGAGGGTGATTATTTAGTATTCTATAAACTTATATTGATTATTAAGTATATAACAACCCTGCTTAATTAATTCTGGTGTAATGTTAGGTACTGGGACATAACATGGCAAGGAGAAAACATTCGGGGCTTGGATGGGTAATTAACTTTAAAACTTTTCTGCATTGTCAGTTTATTTAATAAAATTAACACATGTTCACCACATTCACAGAGCATGTATATACAAATACTTTTGCTAGGTTTGAAGATTTGTTTTCAAAAACGATATTTAATCTTCATAATCTATTAACTCTGTTTTTCTTTGTTTATCAGAATCGAAGGAACCAACTTTAGAATTATAACTCAAAACGAAGAACAAGTGGAGATTTCATTCTCAAGACCATGGAAGGGTGGTTCTAAACATATTCCACTAAATATAGATAAAAGGTATATTATACGAACAAATACGTCAGGAATCTACGCATACGGAGTCTTCGAGAGACTTTCCGGATGGCCAGAAGTCGAGATGGGTCAAGTTCGAATAGTATTCAAACTCAACACTGATAGGTATTTAATACGTTTTCACCATAAGAAAAATCAACCATGTTCATGTTATTTGTTTAATATACACAATTTTATTTATATTCGTTGTAAATATATATTTGTAGATTCCGTTATATGGTGGTGGCAGATGATCGGCAAAGACAAATGCCAACCGACAATGACCGTGACACCCACCGTGGCCATGCCAAGGCTCTTGCTTACAAAGAGGCTGTACAATTGACTCATCCTGGTGACCTAAGGTTCAAAAACCAGGTAACTAATTATAATATACGGAATTTAAGTTTAAATGTAGTATATGATGGATACGGGAAAAAAAATCTATACTAAAAAAAAGTTTGTATATGGTTTAGCACATTCGGATTAATCCTAATTGTTACCATACAAAACTCTAATATTTGAATGTTTAAATTGAATGGTATTATAGGTGGATGATAAATACCAGTACTCATGTGAGGTGAAGGACAACAAGGTGCATGGTTGGATCTCGACCAAGTCCCATGTCGGTTTCTGGCTCATCTCCCCGAGCGGCGAATACCGCTCCGGTGGACCTAGCAAGCAGGAGCTCACGTCTCACGTTGGTCCCACGGCCATCACTGTAAGGATTGATCCAAAAAACTAGTTACTCTTAGACTTCAAAACTAATTAGGAAAACACAATTATAGTTTTTAAATTTTTTAATCAATTAAACTAATTATGCAGAGCTTTACAAGCGGGCATTATGTTGGTCGGGACATGGAGACCATATACAAAACTGGTGAATCGTGGAAAAAGGTCTTCGGACCTGTTTTCATTTACTTAAACTCTGATACTACCGGCAATAATCCTCGTCATTCATTATGGGAAGATGCTAAAAGACAGGTTAGTAATTTTGTTATAAGATATATTGTTTTTACATATATATTTTAAAATTTTATTTACGTAACGTATAAAAGAAGGGACGTTAATATCGTTGTATGAATCTTCAGACCGAAGAAGAGGTTAAAGCCTGGCCGTATGATTTTGTAGCATCCTCTGACTTTCCTTCTCGTCAAGAAAGAGGAACTGTTACCGGTCGCCTCTTAGTCAACGACAGGTACATACTTTTGAACAGTTATTTGCTTTGACCTTTTACTAATATTTTTTATTTGTCAGATTCTTGACTTCGGCTCAATCTGCATACGTCGGTTTAGCACCGCCTGGAGAAGCTGGTTCATGGCAGACAAACACTAAGGTATATCATCATCACTCTTTGATGTCTCTTCTTTAAATTTGATCTCACTTATTAAATTACATATATTCATCGTTATTTTAATTTTTATTTTCCAGGGATATCAATTTTGGACACAGACGAACGAGACCGGCTATTTCACGATTGATAACGTTAGACCGGGAACTTACAATCTGTACGGATGGGTTCCCGGTTTTATAGGAGACTTTCAATACCAAAACCGTGTTAACGTAGCTGCGGGTTCAGAAATTAGTCTCGATAGAGTCGTGTTCCAGCCTCCTAGGAACGGTCCAACGTTATGGGAGATTGGTGTACCGGATCGAACCGCCAGAGAATACTTTGTACCGGAACCATACAAGAATACAATGAATCCCTTATACCTAAACCACACTGACAAGTAAGCCTTCAATTCTCATGATCCCGGTTCACTTTATTACAAAACGGTTTTGGTTCTAATGATTCCGGTTTTGCTGTTTATTCCACAGGTTTAGGCAGTACGGGTTATGGCAACGATACACGGAGTTATATCCAAATCATGATCTTGTCTACACAGTTGGAGTTGGTAACTATAGTCAAGACTGGTTCTACGCTCATGTCACAAGGTAAAGATTTACATAAACAAAGAAAAGTTTTGTTCAAATTAAAATAAGTTTTTTTGACATTTTAATTCGATTATTTTTCTTCAGGAACACCCATGCTTCAACCTATGTACCAACGACATGGCAGATCGTGTTTCAACTTCCATCTGTGAACTGGCGAGGTAGCTACACACTGCAACTAGCTTTAGCCTCAGCTTCACGAGCTAACTTACAAGTCCGGTTCAACAACGAAAACTCGAGGCCATTATTCTCAACGGGTACTATCGGAAGAGATAATGCTATAGCAAGACATGGAATCCACGGAATCTATAGGCTTTACACCATCAGCGTTCCTGGAAGGTTACTAAGAACCGGGACCAACACGATTTATCTACGTCAAGCTAAAGCGACGGGTCCCTTTGAAGGTCTTATGTATGACTACATTCGTCTTGAAGCGCCTTCTAGAGCTTAGATTCATATTTGGTTTTATTTTATTTTATTTTTTTACAGAATTGTTAGGAGACTAATTTGTTTAGATCAGTTTTTTTTTTTTTAGATTAGTGACTGTGCTATTCTATTTTTTTGCTAAATTATGAGATTTATAAGTGTTCAAGTTTATTATTTTTATTGAAGCATGAATAAGAAAATGCCACCAGCAACAGAGACATTAAGAGATTCAAACTCACCTTCCATGGGAATGCTCACAAGCTCACACACTTGTCGTGATTGCTCAGACAAACCGTTCCCTTCACTGCCTAAGATCAAACACAGTGGCTTCTCTGCTAAAGTTTGAGCAAACTCTAAGGAAAGTTTTTGACTAGTAGTACTTGCTGGATGGCCTGCCAATAGCTTCATTTGAAACACACGTTGTAGAAGCTTAAGGTGGCTCCAGTTTCCAGAAACTAATGGGAGTTGAAAGGAAGCACCTCGGCTTGCTCGCAGAGCTTTATCATTAAATGGATCACAACAACCCGGAAGCAGAAATGCTCCATCCTACTCAAAACATTAACAAGACATAACAATGATTATTTAAAATAGCAATTTGGTATTTAATTGAGAAGAAAAGTTGAGAATTTATACCCAATTAAAAGCCATAGCTGATCTAATCAATGTTCCAAGGTTCCCAGGGTCCTGCAACAACAAATGATCATTAATTACACTAGAGATTAAGACAATCTAGCAAAGGGGAGCTAGCTAGCTAACCTGTATGCTGTCAAGAACAAGAACTCTTCGAGCAGAAGGGAACCATCTCTTACAATCTGTTATCACGATCTCCTCTTCATCGTCTTCAAGATCAATGAAGCTCTCTGGGATTCTCATCAAGGCAATGGCTTCAACAGAATCAGTAGACTGCACACCAGAGAGTTTCTTCATCACTAAAGAACTAACCCTAACAACGCGTATACTTAAACTCTCTAACCCTAGTGGAATCAGAGCTTCCTCGTGGAGAAGAAGACACTCAATCTCACTGGTGACTCCGTCCTTATTCGTTTGAAACATACATACTTCCCTGTCAAGCAACGCTCTTAAATAAAGTTACCTTCTTTAAATCAATCAAACATTAAAAAAAAGGAGATAACTTTAACCTAATTGGGATAGCTCCGACGACAAGAACAGAGCCGTGAGCGTGGCGGTAAGAGGCGCTTTGACGGAGCTTTAAGCAGTGTTTGACGAAAGGGTTTGAAGTGCTGGTGATGGAACTCACGTGGGAGGGTAACGAAACCCTAGTCGCCGGAGATTTATCTGAGAGATTGTCGGAAGGGCTTGTCTGAATATGGGTTCGGGGGGATGAAGCTCGAAGCTTTGAAAATGAGGTTTTGATTTCGAAGGGGAGGCGTGGAGACAGAGCTGGTGTAGTGAGAGTGCATCCGCAATGCATTGTTGTCTGTCTGTCTTCTCCGGTGTGAGTCGCGGAGAAGATGACGTTCGACGGGGAAGTTACAGAACATCCATGTTCTGTATTTAGGCCCATTACTACGTTAAAGGCCCATTTACAATAAAGGCCTTTATTCTCGGCCTTGTTAAACCGGATGTGCTTATTCTTAGTGCTTTGTTAGAGTAAATAGACGTTAATGCTAAAGAGATGTTATTATATAGTTTTTTTGGGATGGAGATTGAAGATTTGGGCGTTTATATGTTAATGTTTAACATTTTTGCTTTGCTGCTAATAGGAGATTGAATGATGTTTGCTAAGATTAGGAGATTGATGAAGGTTACAAGACATCTCAAAGGTGCCAGGATCAAATGTTATAGACGTTATTTAGTTGGCATAAGACAATGATGATGAATGTATGATCCATGAGAATGTCTTACATACATAAGAGAGAGTTCATGAGTTTCTCGCTTATCTCTGCATAAAGCTGAATTTGTCTTCTTCTACTTCACGTTCCTCTTGTTTCTTCATCTTATATAATAACTTATAAATAATATATTTATATGCTGTCATATTTAAGCAGTTACATGCAGACATGGATATTATCAGTTTTCAAGCAAATTATTATGTTAAAATATAACTACAAGAAGGGAAATTTAATACTAATTTGTTTCATCCATAGCTTCTGCAAGCTAGCTACAACATTATAGACTAGTAATGGTAATGACATTGAGAACATAATGAATTATGGCATAGAATTACTAGGATTATAGTACCAACTTCCCAAATTACTCTCACGATCACCATTGTTTTCATTACTGCCACTTGTTGCTCCTCCTCCCATGGCGGATCTATCAAAACCCCACTCCGTTGTTACCGTCGAAGGAGGAAGTAGCTCAACGTTATGAAACATAACCGGTGTAGAATCTTGTTGAAACATGGAAGTGGAGAGTCTCTGTTGCTGAAGCTTCTGGTGCAAATCTTGGTTTAAAGAACTCAAAGACTCGATAGAAGAGGATGCAAGATTGTAGTTAGGAAACATGTAGCCGGAGAATCCACCTGAAAAAGTCGAAGAAAGAGGGTTTATCATTGCTCTGTTCATACGAAACCCATCAGCAAGCTCGTGAGAAAACAATGGCGCCACAATCGGAGGAGGAGGAGAGACGACGTGGAGGCTGGATGGCTTGTTCTTGTTTCTGGTTGAGCCACCGATGGGGACGTTACGTAGGGATCCGCCACGTGTCCAGTAACGGCGACAGTTTTTGCAGTAGTGGCGTGGCTGAGATAAGCTGTAGTTGTTGTAGTAACAGAATTTGGTGTTGACGGAATCACATCTTGGACATTTAAGTACCGGCTGCGCTGTCGGAGAGGGTCCCATGTGACTGATCTGATGTGGTGGCTTCTTGATCCTCCGTGGTTTGAAGCTGGTGGTGTGGCTCTGATGGGATGAAGTCATCATGAATTCTTTAAGAGAGATGGGGGCAAGAGAGAGAATGGCTCTAGCTCTTGTGATTTTCATGAATCTTCATATGTGTATATATACATGAACACACCATAGTTGTATATAAAAGTGTTGTGACATGCATGCCTTTTACATCGTGTTTATACTTTAATATTCTTTGTTTTTTAAGTTTCCAATACAAACATGTAAAAACCAAGTGAAAAGTCTATCAAAAATGGTTACAACTTACAAGTGTATACATAAAACCAAGTTCACGTAAGTACGTAACTAAGTAAAATTACATAAATGATGGTCTCTGCTGAATGTTATGCTACTTGATTGAGGAATAACATTCGTTATTTTTTTTTTTGAAAAAGAAGATAGAAAAGTCTTTTTTTTTTTAACATTCGTTATTATTAATTGACAATACATAGTTTTAAATCGTAGACATAAGCGGTGATAGCGGTTGATGCGGCATAACAGCAAGGACCTCTCAGTTCATATGTGTCACCGTTCACTAGTTTGTACCACACGATCAGATTTGTTTTATTCTTTCAACAAAGCATATATAACGATAATTGTGACTCTGTGAGTTTACTTGTATCCACCTCATTGGTTAACTTCTCTATCACGATTATAATTGTTATGTGGATCTATTTGTCAAATAGTATTGGGATAAATCCCAATAAATAAATTTCGAGGCTAATCTTCCCGTTGATAAACCATTTCCAATTATCTAATAACATAATTCTAAGAATTTACACATATTTTTTTTTTATATATAAGTATCTTACATATACACATTGTTCAATGTGGGATAACTCATGCTGTCAAGGAAGTTGACCTTGAAGGAGGTTGAATCATTTGTATTTATCACTTATGATTATGAAAATATCTCTTATAGTAGTCTACTATGAAAGACAAGATAAGGTCGATCTAGGGAAGAGAGAAGTGAGGTAAAAGGTACGAGGTAAAGAAAGAGAAGCCATATCAAGGAGTGGAGTGCTTCACATTGGGAACAAACTCGAACTTCACTCTCTCCTCTCTTGTTGGAAGCAAACGATACACAAGTCGTACACTTCATTTATTATCCTCTTTGACTTTTCACTTATATTGTTCCTTCATCGACTATGAATATATATACTAGTTGTCTTGTATCTGTAATTATAAGTTATTTTCCGGTTAACAACTTATTACAACAAGAAAAGAATAAGCGCCCAGGAACTACAATTCTTAATAATTTTATTAAGAGTAGGCTTCAGAGTGTTGTCAATTCGTTCGATGGCATTGTTAACATAATCTGCAGAGATGAGCTCGACATCCACCGTGATGTTCTGTTCTCCGGCCATATCTACCATCTCTTGAGTATCCTTAATCCTTCCTATCATGCTTCCCATTACCATGCTCCTGCCTATATATACACAATAAAACATATTTTCTATGTAATTTCCTCAATTTATCAACTAGACACTAGTCTCAAAAGATTAGCACAAGAAATGATATAGGTTTGTTACTACAACCATATCAATCGCCAAGTCTTGGCTAATAGCGACACATATATATATGTCGTATCTTCAACTAATAAAACATATGATTTTTTTTTGGTTACCCATTGTTTAGGATCTGAAAAATATAAAAGAGGCAATTTGAATTCTAGAACAGATATGTAAGTAGCTAATATTATACATGTTTTGAACAAAAAAAGAAAGAAAATACTCTACGTTTTAAATTCTCAGTGACAGAGCTTCCAGACGAGATGTTTAGTGAATCTATTTTATAAACCATAGTACTTGTAAAAAAAAATATCTTGTTTAGTTTGAAAGTAACTAAATTATTACTAGTATATTTTTCGAGTAAAAGGCCTTTAGACTGAAGACGTTTTAAAATAATGTGCTTATTCCCAATACACTTAAATATGTTGTTCGAAACTTCGAGCATATCTAATTTTCATATTCAGAGCGTAATTAATTATCCATACATGACTATGGACCTCGTTAAACTACATATAAATTATTACTTTCCCACTCTCACGTGGTTCTCGTCTTCTAACACCGACAAGACTGTACGTCCGAGCAACTGCGAGCGTTTTGGAAGGCCTATTTTCCCATATTATTCGTATAAATTAAATCGAATATAAACTTACAAGAACGAAACTCATTAATTACTTCAAAGTTATACTATTATTGCGTGCTGGTTCTTGTGGTCTAATATCGAATAGTTGAGCTATGTCTTCCAATCGTATTTGCTTTGCTCCCAAATTGTTTTGCCCACGCAACGTACTCCTAACTAAAACGTGTATACACTGTTTTTAACACTGTTAAGATACATGCACTTGAATAGTACTCCAAATTAATGAATTTTTACAGTCGAATTAAGCTTCCCCAAAAATGTTATTAATATATAGCTATCACATAATAATATTCTAGCTGATTTAGTTGAAAAACACAATAGTAGTGAATACAGACTACGCCCTCACCAAACAGCTCGGAACTTATTACGACAAACCAAACAAGAATTTGAAAAGAATCTTTTTGTGAAAGTCAATTTTTAAGCTTTATAGTAAGGAGTAGGCTTCATTGTGTTGCCAACATCAATCACAAAGCGATATCTAACGTCCCCCTTTTCGAGCCGTTCCATGGCAGTGTTGACATAATCCGCAGAGATAAGCTCAATATCTGCCGTAATGTTGTGTTTACCGGCCAAATCCACCATCTCTTGTGTCCCCTTTATCCCTCCTGTCATACTTCCAACCACCATTTTCTTCCCTATATATACACAAATCAATTATCGACTTTTATATAATTCAGTAATTCGTCATGAAAACATATATTTATATATGTACGTGTGTGAGCTAAAATAATAATGATGTGACATTGGTTAAAGGAGACATATATATATATAGGCTATTACCTAAGATGAGAGGCAGAACCGGAAGCTCAAGTGGTTTATTGGGTGCACCAACCATAATAAGTTTTCCCTTATATTTTAGTAAACCAAGAATCGGAAGAAGCGGATGAGTGGCAGATACGGTATCAATAATACCATCCATAGTCCCTATTGCTTCCTTCATCTGTTCCGGGTCATGACTCACCAAGAACAGATCCGCACCAAGCCGACTAATCGCCTCGTCTCTCTTCCTATCCGAAGTACTGATAACCGTGACCTTAGTACCCATAGCCTTGGCAAACTTCACTGCTACATGACCTAAACCGCCTAATCCCACTACACCAATGTGCATGCCGGGCTTGTCGAGTCCGTGATACTTCATCGGTGAATAAACCGTGACCCCAGCGCAAAGTAGCGGTGCGGCAGCGTCCAACGGGAGATTTTCGGGAATATGGATGATGTAATCCTCTTCACAAACCATGTGGTCAGAGTAACCACCATAAGTCATGGTGTCATCGTAGTACTTGCCTCCCGACGTTATGATCATTTCTGGACAGTAGTTCTCTTGGTCATCATTGCATATGTCACATGACCGGCACGAGCTGACCATGTAACCAACTCCATTCATTAACAGGTCTTCCCACACACAAAAAAAGTCGTCTTCCTCTCCCTTCTCTCTAGGCTCCGACTCTCTCTGCTCTCTCGTCTGCTCCGTCGGTTGGAGGCGCCGGCCACCGCGCCGGTGAGCGTGAGCTCCGCCGACGGAGGCCTCTCTCTCCCTTACCTTGTTTTCTGATTTGCTTTGTCGCCTTCTTCTCTTCTTCCGCCGGCTTGGTTGTCTTTGTGGAAGGTTCTTTG